AATGACTCACGCGAGAAACATAATATGAAAAAATCTAAAAAGAAGGTCATTGACTTCTTCCACCAGATATATTCACAAATAATAATCTTTGACTTCTATTAAATTATGATGTTTTCTATTTTCATATTTATTTTTTTAAACTATTGAAGAGAAACTAAATAGCCTGTAAATAGTCATTCTGCGTTTTCATCAAGCTGAACGTTTTCGATCTCCGCATTAATATCATATGTGTATCCTAATTCTGTTTTCACAGCAAATTAAATACTATTATTGTTCCTTTTTTTTTATCTAGATCATCGCAATCGGTTTTAACGAGAATATCCATGTTTGTTGAAATTTTATATCCCTTTCAATATTCGATACAAATACTCCCATCTGTTTTTTTTCCGATCGGATTTAGGTTCCAGATAATTTTTTAAATATAAACTTTTTTTCGTATTTTTCTCTTCTGTTCAATGTCTTTAATTCATACAATGCTACGATATAACGGACATGACGCGCACGAGCTTTCAGAATCTGTGAATCTGTGCCTGTCCATTTTATGTGTTTTCATTTTGGTATACTGTTTCCTGACTGTTCACCTTCTGTTACATGAAAGTGCACATGCGTGTACATACGTGTGAAGATGCATGTCGCAGTCCGACTATGCTCCCTTCATCTTCGTAAGATAACGATCCGTGCGTGTCGTGTGATAGCATAGGTTTATGATGCATTCCATTTGCCTCGTAAACATGCTTCTCTCTCGTAAACTGCAGAGATAATCTGCAGTTTAGGCGATGAAAGTTTCTGATATTTCGATTTATGCAATAACTTCGTACGAACACTCTCGGCATTCACGGTGTCAACCGTTGTGGAATTATGGCATATTAAATAGATATTTTATTTCATAATGATACTGATTTGCGGAAATCAGTGATTACACGAGCAATCGATATTTTCGATTTCAAAACGTTTTGTTATTTTTGTGTTACAGGATGATTATTGAGAAAAATTATTAAAAATAAGTATCAAATTAAAACTCGGTTGACAATCAAATTCATTAAATCATCATTACACAGTAAATTGTTGTGCTGATTGCCATTCTCTCTTTTGGTTGAATCGATATTTTACGGATAGCAGCACTTAACTATTTAAAACCTCAATGACCGCTGTTTTTCGAATCTCTGAATATATGTCCTTTTTACGGAAATGGACACAGAAATCTCGAAATAAATGTTTCATCGCTCACATTATTTAGCTTACCTACGTATTATTATTATTATTATTTGAGTTTTTTACAATGCAGATGATAAGAGAAAATATAATTTCTAATAGAGAAAAAAAACAATAAGACTATTAAAAGCTTTAAAATATATTATTTTTTCGTTAATGAATTTTTGAAAATTGCCGTCCGTTATGGTTAATTATTGGATTTTTATACTTCCATTAAAAACATTCTGTTTTTCCAAATATCGTGGATATTGTATCGTTTTAAAGCATTACATATAATTTCATTTTATTTAATTTTACCTAGATAATTTCTCCAAAAATATTTTTATGTTCGAAACTAATTATTCCGTAAAAACTCATTCTATTAAAAACATTCTGTTTTTCTAAAAATATCGTGGATTATATCATATTAAAGTATTACGTATAATTTCATTTTATTTAATTTTACCTAGATAATTTCTCCAAAAATATTTTTATGTTCGAAACTAATCACTCCGTAAAAACTCATTGTTTGCATGTTTGAACTGTTTGTTTCTCATCTAATTAAGTTACAAAACTATTCAAAATAAAGCTAGAACTCTCAATAATTAATAAAATAATTTTCATAAATTAATATGCCAATTTGACACACGAAATATTGTTCGATACTTTGGAATTTATCTTTTGAACAAATCGGGATATATCGCTCCTTGAATCATTATTTATTATACATTTAAAACTTGTGAGTGCACGACTTAAACATAATTTTATGAGTATGGTGAGTTGTACGTAAAAGCAACATAAACTTGCCAGTATAACATAAACTTTAATCGAATACACTTATCCGGTAAAGATGACGAAACTTACGTAGTTTACTCGAAGAGATTTCGATGCAGTAGAGTTGGATGAGGATTTAATGAAAATTTAAACTATATTTATCAACGAACATCTAAAGTAATATATCATATTTTTTGTTCTTTTTAGCAACAGAGACATCCACCTCTTGTTCTTGGCTGGATGTTTCTCGTGCTGCCGTTCCTACCTGCGTCCAATCTTTTTGTTACCGTGGGTTTTGTTGTGGCGGAGCGAGTTTTGTATACACCGAGGTAATTTTGTTACAACATTACACATTCTAACATTAGCACAATGATTATTACAACAAGTATGAATTCCTCATATACTGTTACAGCGTCGGATGGATTATTTTGATCGTTTATGGTATGCAGCTGAGCTGGACTGCTGTACCACGACGAAGAAGCTGGATCACTACAGGCGTAGTTCTCATGCTTGTTTTAGGATGTTTCAAAACGGTTCTTCGGAATAACGATTGGACATCTAGAGAGACTTTAATCAAGTATGTGATTATTTTACGTGCCATGTATTTTACTAACTCGAATCTTTTAAGTAGAGAAACTTTTCTTGCCGATCGATCATATTATGGAGTATTCGTTTAACTTTGAATTAAATCCTCGCGCTAATGACAAATATAAATAATATCGCATGCAATTGTATCTGAACCTTGCAATTACGATAAGAATGATTTTGTCACGCGAAGACATCGTGGACATTTACGACGAGTGCCTAGTTTCTTAAACAAGGAGACTGGCGTGATGCCAGTAGTATATACATTAAAGAACTGGAACATTAGTGTGCAGACGGCGATTGGCTATGTATGGGTCGCAAAACATAACTAACGTAGATATGGGATGACGAGGGTGGTAGGATCGTGTCGAGGTCGAGAGGATGGTCTCATCTGACCTCAAATCGCCTTGTTTCAGAGCGGGTCTGCGGTCTCTACCCTACAATGCCAAGATGCATTACAACTTTGCTAACTTCCTTAAAGACACGTCGCAACCAAACCTTGCGGTCCACCATTATCAGTTGGCTCTCTGGTAAGTATGTGTTTCTCTTTCTCGCACCGTATATAAACTCTCCAGATACACGTTGGAATAAGAGTAATTTACTCTGAGTTTATTTACTTACATGAGAACAATGACAAATGTAACTACAAACCTTTGAGAGTTCTCTAAGATATTTCTAATAAATATAATTAATAATTGAGAGATTACTCACTTCTGAAAATATATATACATATATTTTAGGCTATTTTTTTTTAAATTTGATAAATAATTACGATATTTGTTTGTTAATAACAGAGATTTGATTAGATTGTCCTTTTATCATTTCTATCTTAATAACTGTTTTATGTTGTATTCGGTCAGTATATATGATTTTATTTTAGTTTTTTTCTTTGATATATTTTAAATATTATACATTATAGAAGTAAGTACATTTCGATTTATCATTTTTCGATAAGTTTTCTTTGACATACTACTTATCTATAAAATAAATGGAATCGTGTTTATATATATGTATATATATGTTGAAACGTGTGATAACATAATGAAAACTGAAGATCACATTATATTCCAATATAGATATTATATTCCAATATAATTAAATCAATAAAGTTTTTTATTATCTCATAAATTATTATAAATCTTATTAAATTGTTACCAGCATTGCAACATGTGAATATAGTATCCCTTTTTTCATTCTATTTTCAAATCTTCTCTCAGTTTCTACGAAACCTATTTTTGTCGAATACGAGAAAGATATTGCATATAAAGATATTAGAAATAGAATTGAATTACATTTACATTCAAGCTCTTAGATTCAAAAGTTAACAAAAATGAATGAATTGTCATTTATAATAACAGACTTATTTAATTAAATAATTATTTAATTAAATAAAAATTATTTAATTAAAGAATTATTTAATTAAATAATTATTTAATTAAAGAATTACACACACAAATAATACACAGAATTATTTAATTAAATAATTTAGGCAAATCAAACTCATAAGTTCAATAAATTATATTTTACAAGAGAAGTTACATAGTTATCTTTTTAAATTGGTGTGGAAATTAAAAATACTTTTAGAATTAAGAATTTTATTGCTGTATAATCAGAAATATATGTAAATATTTTTAATATAAATAAAATAAATAAATTTTTAATATAAATAAAAATAAAAATATAGAGTATATTAAATAAAATAAAAAAATAAAATATAGAATATATTATATAATATAAGATACTTTGAATATTATATCAGATCTACAGTTTATTTTTTAAGCAAACGTTTCCAGTAACATACATATTTAATTTTTATTGTTAAAAATAACTATTAAAAAAATCAAACGGTAATATCGTGAAAAACTTTTTCGCATAATTTAGTGTTATGCGTAAAAGAGATAATCTGATTACATAAATATAGTTATAGTACTATAGTACTATATAGTACTAAAATAAATAGAATTATTTGGAAATTTATTTTCAAGTATTAATGCGAGACTTATTTAAAAATTATTCGAATCGTAGTGGAAATGATAATTATTTTATTATGATTATCATTACATAATAAATTTATTGAATTATATATTTTCGAAAACAATTTTGGAAGAAAGTCTAGTAAACAATTACTTAAAATAACTAGATTATACATGTTTCTAATATTTATCGTGATATATCTATAAATGTGTATTGCAGCTATTTGAGATATTTGTCGGTCAGAAGAAAATAATCTCGAATTTGTCTATTAAATAATCGATAATCGGTTATCGCGAATAACCGTTTTAAACAAGAGTTTGTTGAGTTATTATAGATCGAAATTCTGTAGAAAATCTCTCGTTTATTTCATTTTGTACTTACGTATCAATTTTGATAAAAATTATGGATGAGTAGAGATCAAACACAAATTCATGAATATGAATTCTGTTTTGTAAAAGAACGTGTCGTGACGGTATACACACGCTTGTGTCCAGCACAGTTTTATAACTTTTATAGAGAATATCTCATGAAAGGAGAGAAAAAGTAATTAAGAAGATTTATTTATAAATTTCAGCATTACTGAGGAATTTTATCAACTTTCGGCTTCATACTTTCTGTAACTTTGTAATAATTCTTTCATCTTTGGGATAGATATATACATGACAGTAAATTAATGCATAAACTCACTGGCACAATGTAATTGCAAATCCACGATTTACATTTTTTTAACCAACCCACCAAATGCTTGTTTTTTACCTCAGGTTTTCACAATTTCCATAGAATGATATTATCACAGAAATCTTTTGAAATAATTGCATTTATATTGTATCGCTTTATTATCACGTCTTTATCTTAATTTCTCTTCTGTGATGATCTATTTTCACTTACTTAATTTATATTCCGCTGTGTGTAACATGACAGAACAGACAGAATATCATAAAAGGGTAGTCGACGTAATACAATCTTATTACCATATGCAGACTCTTTTCTCTGCTTCTCAACGACTCTTTCCACCCTTTTCCCCCTTTTCCCCATTGCGTTTCTCGTGCACAGCACGAACAGAGTCGCAGCAAACCGACAAAAGTGCATTAATTAGCCGTAGCTCGACTGCGCTCCAGATGAAGTGGTAACCAGTCGTTCGTTTTTTCCGTGCCCT